GAAAACAGAGAGGGTACCCCAGGCTAACTTGAACCATCTTCAAGAGTCACACCGCCAACTCTCTCACCTTGGTTTTGAGCTTGCTTTCCCAGTCCAACTCAGAGGCAAGGCCTGACAGTCTGCCCATCTTAAGTTTCTCAGCAGCCACACTGGGGTAAGATCATCTTCCCTCTTAAATCAGAAGTGCTATGTCTTTGCTCCTGCACAGCTGCCTAGCTTCACCCCAGAGGGAGTTGCATTTCTGTTTGGGGTCATGGGATCGCAAGTGTACAGTAAGGAAATGTGTTCTTGGGCTCTGGTAGTTAAGAATCTTCCTGATCCAGAATCAGCACTAAGCACAGAATTGAGCTCCATGATGGAAGGGAATTTGTTCAGTATATTTTGTTTGCTGATGTATCCTAAGTCCCTAGAGTACTCCTGCCATGTAACAGGCAATCAGTTATAGACTGGATAAGTAGCCATACAATACTAGGGTAAATGCCAAGTATAGTTAGGTGTGATTCTAATGATCATTGGTGTCTACCACTTTATGGCTTTTATTTTCCTGAGTACATTCTTTGGTTGCCTTCACATAATAGATGCTGAGGCCAACTCTCTGCTAATAGGACATGCTTCCTATTAGTTACTCTTTTGGCCCTGGGTATGGGCTAGTTTGTTCTAAACCAGTAGTACCCAAACTTTTTGCCACCAGGGACTGGTTTTGTGGAAGACAATTTTTCCATAGCCAGAAGGGGGCAGGGATGGTTTCAGGATGAAACTGTTCCACTGCAGATCATCAGGCATTAGATTCTCATAAGGAACATGCAACCTAGATCCCTTGCATGCACTACTCACAATAGGGTTTGTGCCCTGCTGCTCACCTGCTGCTGTGTGGCCCAGCTCCTAACAGGCTGCAGACCAGTATTGGTCCATGGCCTGGGGGTTGGGGACCCCTGTTCTGAACCATCTAAGTCTTGCATTTGGGTTCCCTTGTGAATGCTGGTGATTTACATACAACTTTGCTTTATTAGTGCTTCATGATCTCTGAAAAATTGCTAATTAGATTCAGGAAGCTCTTACCATATTCACCTAGCACTCAGGACTTTCTAACCTTTGCCTCTGTCTATCTCTGGGAGGCAAAGCAGGGGTACAAGCTGGTTTCCTCACCTGGAAAACATGTAGTGGATGGTCCATCTTCCTTTCTGAAATTCCTTTCTCTACCTTGTTTCTAGCTCAGCCTACCTGCTGCTTCAAGACTGAGATCCTGTAAGGTGCTTTGAGTTGCTCTACTCACTCCTAACTGGAATTCCTCCTTTCGGAGCAACCCATGACATTCTCATCCTCGTTCTTTGTAATCCTGACATTCTTGGGACAAAAGTTTTATAGAAGATAAAAATGGCAACACACCTCTAGACAAAAGTGTCGGTAGAGTTCCAATTAAAATACTGCATTCCTGTCTAGGTGCAGGGGCTCAGACCTGTAATCCCAGCACTTTGGGAGACCAAGGCAGTTGGACTGCTTGAGCCCAGGAGTTCAAGACCAGCTTGGCAACATAGCAAGACCCCATCTCTTAAAAAAAAAAAAAATATATATATATATATATATGATATATTTTATATCCACACATATATATAATACTGCATTCCCTTAATGCTCAATTTAGAGTTAAACACAAAGGACCAGAATACACTAAGTATAATGTTTCTAAGAGAATTCATTAGCAGATCTATACCATTTACAAATGGTTTTATTACATTTTTTTTAACTGAAATGTTTACTGAGATAATTGCAGTTCACATGCAGTTGTAAGAAATAATTCAGAGAGATGGCAGTGCACTTTGCCCAGGTTCCCCTAATGGTCCAATGGTGACATTTTACAAAACAACTTTATAATGTCATAACCAGGATATTGACATTGATACAATCTGCTGATCTAATTTGGATTTCCCCAGTTGTACTTGTACTTGTACTATGTGTGTATTAAGATCTACAGACATTTATCACCTATGTAGGTTTCTGTATCCACTACCAGAGTCAAGATATGGAACAATTCCATTACCACAAAGATCCCTTGTGTTGCCCTTAATAACCAGACATACCTCCTTCCTCCTCCCCCTTCAGTAGCTCCTGGCAACCACTATTTTGTCCTGCAATTCTAAACTTTTGTTATTTCAAACGTGTTACATAAATGGAATCATAGAGTATATAAGTTTTTGAGATTTTTTTTTGAAATTTAGCATAATTCCCTGAGATTCATCCAACTTGTGTGTATCAAAAGTTCATTCCTTCTTATTGCTTATTAATATTCCAGGCAGTTTGCTTAGTCTTTCACTGGTTGAAGCACATTTGGGCTGATTCCAGTTTTTTGCTCTTATGGCTAAAACGTTTATGTACAGACTTTTGTGTGAACATAAGTCTTCATTTCTATGGGACCAATGTCCAGGACTGTCATTGCTGGGTCATATAGGGGTTGCATATTTAGTTTGTAATGAAACTGTCCAACTGTTTTCGAGAGAGGCTGTACCTTTCTACATTCCTATCAGCAATGCATGAGGGCTCAGTTTCTCAAAATCCTCACCAGCATTTAGTGTTGTCTTTTTTTTTGAGGTAGAGTTTCACTCTTGTTGCCCAGGCTGGAGTACAATGATGCGATCTCGGCTCACTGCAACCCCCGCTCCTGGGTTCAAGCAATTCTCCTGCCTCAGACTCCCAAGTAGCTGGGATTATAGACATGAGCCACCGTGCCCAGCTAATTTTTGTATCTTTTTGTAGACACGGGGTTTCTCTATGATGGTCAGGCTGGTCTCGAACTCCTGACCTCAGGTGATCTGCCTGCCTCAGCCTCCCAAAGTGCTGGGATTACAGGCTTGAGCCACCGTACCTAGCTGATGTTGTCATTTTTCTTTTTATTCCAGACTTTCTGATATGTGTGTGGTGATATCCCATTGTGGTTTTTAATTCACATTTCCCTAATAGTTACTAATTTTGAACATTTTAAAATGTGTTTATTTGCCAATTGTATATTGTCTTTGGTGAAATGTCTGTTAAATCCATTTCCTAACTGGATTGTTATTTTATGGTTGAATTTTGAGACTTCTATATTCATTCTAGAGAGTAGTCCTTTGTTGGTTTGTAGATATTTTCTCCTTGTCTGTAGTATGTCTTTTTATCTTCTTTACGTGGCCTCTCGTAAAGCAAAAGCTTTTCATTCTAATGAAATGATGAGGTCTAATCATCAGTTTTTCCTTTTAAGGATTTTACTTTTGGTGTCAAGTCTAAAACCTCTTTGCCTTTCCCTACATCCTGAAGATTTTCTTTCTGCTCCGGTCTTTCTCTAGGTTTTATTGCTTTATGCTTTACGTTTGAAGCCTATGATCTTTTTTAGTTGATTTTTGTAGAACGTATGAGGTTTAGGTTAAGATTCTTTTTTTTTCCTGTGGATGTTCAATTTTCTAGCATCATTTATTGCTAAGGCTTTGAACCTATGTTTAAAAAGAGAACTTAGCATAGTGCCAGGCACCCGGTAAGTTCTCAAGGAAGATGTAAGGGTTTTCCAAGTGCAGTGGCTCATGCCTGTTATCCTAACACTTTGGGAGGCTGAGGTGGGCGAATCACTTGAGCTGGGAGTTCAAGACCATCCTGGTTTACATGGTGAAACTCTATCCCTACTAAAAATACAAAAATTAGCCGGGCATGGTAGTACTTGCCTGTAATCCCAGCTACTCAGGAGGTAGGAGAATCATGTGAACTGGGGAGGTGGAGGTTGCAGTGAGCTGAGATCACACCACTGTACCTTAGCCTGGGGTACAGAGTAAGATTCTGGGAAAGAATGAACGAAAGAAAGAGAGAGAGAGAGAAAGAAAGAAGAGAAAGAAGGAAGGAAGGAAGGAAAGGAAAGAAAGAAAGAGAGAAACAAAGGAAGGAAGGAAAGAAGGGAGAGAAAGAAAGAGAGAAAGGAAGGAAGGGAGGAAGGAGAAAGAAAAGAAAATGAAAGAGAGAGAAAGAAAAGGAAGGAAGGAAAAGAAGGAAAGAAAGAAAGTCAAGGTCTCATCTCCTCTTTGAGGTCAGGGGAAAGCTTATGGTCACTTCCTCCCAGGGATTTTACAGTGGCCAGGAGAACATCAGCCTCACAGCCAGGAGCTGGGAGTATAACGGGAAAGAGGTGTCCTTATGAACCTGTGGGACTGAACAGATGATCAGACCCAGTTGATCTAAAGGTTGACGAAACCAAGAGTGTTTTGGTTTCTAAGAGGCATCTAGTTAATCAATAGGACTATTATGTGCTGTTAGGAAAGAATGAGCAAGTCTAGATGTATCATCTTTCCTGGATTTGCCCACAATCTGAGGATTGACTGATTTAAACAGAAAGCTGGGGGTGATAGAGACCTAGAGAAAGAGGCCTTGATGTTCAAGTCCAGCAGTTCCTACTAAATGATCTAGGTATTCACGCCTTGAGAGTTCATTCCTTCAAAGGTGGCAAGCTGCCGCCATAGCCCACTAATTCCCAGTTGTGTTTTAAGTAACAGCAGAACATTTACTTCTTTTATGCCAAGCAGATTTGAGCAGATGTGGTGTGAAACTTCATGTTAATCTAAGTTCAGGCTAGTTGGTAGGCAGGCGGTGCAGGCGGAGAGTCTGTGGCAGCCTGAAAATCTTCATGGCCACCCAGGAACAGGCAGACACATCACAGGGCTCTGGTAAACGGTTTTGGGGCATAGAAAAATAGGCCGGGCGCGGTGGCTCAAGCCTGTAATCCCAGCATTTTGGGAGGCCGAGGCGGGTGGATCACGAGGTCAAGAGATCGAGACTATCCTGGTCAACATGGTGAAACCCCGTCTCTACTCAAAATACAAAAAATTAGCTGGGCATGGTGGTGCGTGCCTGTAATTCCAGCTACTCAGGAGGCTGAGGCAGGAGAATTGCCTGAACCCAGGAGGCGGAGGTTGCGGTGAGCCGAGATCGCGCCATAGCACTCCAGTCTGGGTAACAAGAGCGAAACTCCGTCTCAAAAAAAAAAAAAAAAGAAAAGCAGCTGATCTAAACCATCTTGTAATACAGTGCTCCCATCTAAGAACAACCTAAGATCTTGAGTTCATTTGTCCTAAGTTGTATTCTCTCAAAACAACAACTATTAAAGCAGTGACTCCAGAGGGCCGATAAGTCAGATCTCAGCTGATCATGGGAAGGGCCCAAGTTTCAAATCGCTCCTCTCTTACAGCGCGTCCAGCATGCCTCTTGTCAGCACCATTCCTTAGCTGACCCAGGGAGGAACACAAACATTTGTTTTCTTTTTAATCACAAAGCCGGCTGTGCCACTTCTGTCAAATACCATTAACTGTCCTGGACCTGCAGTTTAATGTCCTGGCTCACTGCAGGTATGATCCTTGGTCAGGGTTAAATAATTAATAAAGAGTCATTAGTACCTGCAGTTTTGTGATTCATGGTGTGGTCCCGGGCCAGCTGGGTAAAAATGCAGGCTCAGAAGCCCTGCTACAGACCTATTGAATCAGAATCTGCATTCTCAACCAGATTCCTGGGAGATTCATACATACATGGAAGTTCCAATAGTCCTGGTCTACAGAATATAGGATCCTTCTCAGATTAGAAAGTACCCCAAAGCCACGCCCTCAACCCCAGCTCTGTGTGGAATCACCTGGGAGCTTTAGAACACTCAGCTGCCTGGGTTCTGCCCTTAGAGATTCTGATGTGATTTGGTCTGCAGTGTGGGCATCGGAAACACTAAAAGCTGCCAAGTGCTTCTTTATATTTCCAAGGTTGAGAACCTTAGCTGAGCGGCAGAACCATGTGGAAACTTTCTTTTCCCCTAAGACAGGGTCTCTGTCACCCAGGCTGGAGTGCAGTGGTCCGATTACTGCTTACTGTAGCTTGGACCTCAGGTGATCCTCCCATCTCAGGTTCATGAGAAGCTGAGACTACAGGCATGCACAACTACACCTGGCTTATTTTTCTATTTTTAATAGAGATGGGGTTTTTTCATGTTGGCCAGGATGGTCTTGAACTCCTGGGCGCAAGCGATATTCTTACCTTGGACTCCCAAGGTGCTGGGATTATAGGCGTGAGCCACTGTGCCTGGCTTGTTACTTCTAAATAGAGTTGTCCCTTGGTATCTGTGGGGGATTGGTTCCAGGACTCCCCTCAGATACCAAAATCTGAGGATGCTCAAGTCCCTGATATAAAATGGCATAGTATCTGCAAATAACTTATACACATCCTGCTGTACACTTCAAGTCATCTCTAATTACTCATAACCCCTAATACAATGTGAGTTGTTATACTCAATTGTTAAGAATAACCATTTTTAAAGTTGGTACATGTTCAGTAAAGACACAATTTTTTCCCCCAAATTTCTTGAGTCCATGGTTGGTTGAATCCAAGATGTAAAACCCACGGACACAGAGGGCCGACTGTATACAGATGTACAAGCCCCACCCCAGAGGTCCTTATTTCAGTAGATGTAGGGTAGAGTTCAGGCATGCATGCCCTTATGGAAGTTCCAGCTGACCCTGGGTAACGGAGGCACAGCCGTGGCTGAGAGTCCTGGAGCCCACATGGAGCTAAACCCTGGTGGGTGGGGGTGGGGCACTCCAAGTTCCACCTCTGCCAAATAGGGCTGCAGAGAGCTAAAGGCTATACAGCTTGTGATGCACCTTTCTTGGGGATTCTGGAATCTTTGCCCCTGATTTCCCATAATCCTAGCCAAGGAACAGAGCATCAGGTTATTTGATATTACTTTTCAAACAGAAGCAATGGGTATTCTTCACACATAAGGCTTTCCTTCCCTAGTGCAATATATGCATTCCAGAAACTCCTCACATTCTGAAAAATCACACACTTAAAGTCTAAGGGATTTGGAGAAAATTAGCATCCCCAATAGGTTACTTAGGAAACAAACCATTTTGAAACCTGAAACTAACAAAATCAGAAATGTGCCCAGGAAGCTCACTTGGACTATCCAGGGAGGTGACCCAGGCTGGCAAGAAACCACCATGGCAGATATTAAAAACACACACAATATAGGGCCTGGTGCAGTGGCTCATGCCTGTAATCCCAGCACCTTGGGAAGCCAAGGCAGGCAGATGACGAGGTCAGGAGATCAGGACCATCCTGGCTAACACAGTGAAACTATGTCTTGACTAAAAATGCAAAAAAATTAGCTGGGCGTGGTGACGCATGCCTGTAGTCTCAGCTACTTGGGAGGCAGAGATGGGAAGTTCCCTTGAACCCAGGGAGGTTGAGGCTGCAGTGAGCCAAGACTGCGCCACTGCACTCCAGCCTGGGTGACAGAGCAATCCTTGGCTCAAAACAAAACAAAAACAAAAACCAACAACACCACACACAACATAATAGAGTGGAGATGCTGAAGAGCTTCCAGATGGAGCCAGTGGAGGGTGCCGAGACCTCGAAGACAGAGGTGGGCGTCTGAGCCAGCAAGGCTGCTGTTAAGGTGGGCCTGGGGAGCCACACAACCTGTCCTTAGACACTCAGGCCTGCAGTGTGCTTCTTAGGACAGAGGACCCCCGACAGTGGGCTGCATTTGAAATTCTGTTAAAATACAACTCAATAGGGTCCCTGCTGCCAATGCAAAAGCTGACTTAAAGACTTTGTTTTCCTGCTAAATTTTCTGTTATTCCAGCTACTCTGGTTTCCTTTGCCAAGGAAAAACTGCATATGAACCAATGCAGCAAGTGGGTTACACTGACATCATTCCCCTGTAGCCCAGTCTCATGAGCTAACTCATTATGGAAACCTGTCACAGCAAACAGACTACACTGAGGATTTTGATGTCTCATGTTCAGGTGGCTCGACTCTGCTTGGAGTCCGCAGGGCAGTGTCTTAAAGTGATGGCCTCAACAATTTACATTGGAATCACCTGATTAAAAAAAAGCACAGGTCCCTAAGTTTTACCCCAGACTTGCTGAACCTGCATTTTTATTATTCTTACTTATTTATTTATTAGAGGCAGAGTCTCTGTCATCCAGGCTGGAGTGCAGTTACGCAGTCTCAGCTCACTGTAATCTCCACCTCCCGGGTTCAAGCGATTCTCCTGCTTCAGCCTCCCAAGTAGCTGGGACTACAGGGGCCGGCCACTGTGCCCAGGTTTATTTTTTATTTTTATTTTTATTTTTAGTAGTAGAGACAGTGTTTCGCCGTATTGGCCAGGCTAGTCTCAAACTCCTGACCTCAGGTGATCTCCCTGCTTTGGCCTCCCACAGTGCTGGGATTATAGGCGTGAGTCACCATGCTTGGCCTGAACCTGCATTTTTAATATGCTGTCCCAGGATTCTCTTGGGCTTTAAAGTTTGGAAACCACGAGCTCAGTTAGATGGACCCAGAGCGGTACTACAACTTTTCCAGCATTTCTGTAAAGATTCACAGGACTCTGGAAACAACAGGAAGTTTACAGTCCTCGAGTGTAACCCCTTTGTCCTAAGAGGAAAAACAAAAACTCTTGGTTAGAATTTTCTTCTGCTTCCTAATTGGCTTGGTATAAACGCAGCTTGTTCTTCACCTGTCCGGGAACTGAAATAAATACAGATCCTGATTTATTGTAACTAATCCAAAACAGGTGTGCCTTTTACAGCTGTGTTTTATTTTGAGGAGTAGTTCAGTGGCAGGAATTTGGGTGGCAGCAGGGGAGGCTGGTGAGAGGAGGGTCACTTGGCGGTAAGGTGGGTTTTAGTCCCTGTACCAAATCCTCACTACTGCCTGCTGTTGGAGCTGAGTGCCAGAGACATGGCCTCTCTTGGTCTTTATTGGTCTTCTTTGGTTATGATAGAAGATACACTTGCATCTCTAAAAGGAGGTGGAAAAAGCATTGAACTAACCAATCTTGTATCAAGACAAATGATAAAGCTGTGGTCATCAAGATAGTGTGGGAGGTGCTGTAGATAGATAGATAAACCAAACCGAGGAAAAAGTACAGAATCCAATCCTGGAATTTGGTTTATGGATAGAAATAGTCATTCAACTTGTAGGGAAGAGACAAGTACTTCAATGCTGACACAATGAGCACCATATGGGAAAAATGTCAGTGCCTTACAATGGACCCCAAATAAACTCTGCTGATATTTGATCTCTGAGTTAAAATTCCTAAGTACTGAAAAAAATTTTCAAAATGATTTTCATGATCTTGAGAGATATAGGATCTTCTTGGGACAAGAAGAACAAAATAAAAAGAAAGAAAGAGAAAGAAATATCAATAATTTTGATTTTATCAAATTGAAATTTTTCTATAGAACAAAAATACCACAAAGAAAATTAAAGTGACACCCTCTGTATGTAGGACATTGTAATAGACAAAGATAATTTTTCCAAGGTATATAAAAATCGAATAGATAGGGCCGGGCGCGGTGGTTTAAGCCTGTAATCCTAGCACTTTGGGAGGCCAAGGTGGGTGGATCACGAGGTCAAGAGATCGAGACCATCCTGGTCAACATGGTGAAACCCCGTCTCTACTAAAAAATACAAAAAATTAGCTGGGCGTTGTGGCACGCGCCTGTAATCCCAGCTACTCGGGAGGCTGAGGCAGGAGAATTGCCTGAACCCAGGAGGCGGAGGTTGCGGTGAGCCGAGATTGCGCCATTGCACTCCAGCCTGGGTAACAAGAGCGAAACTCCGTATAAAAAAAAAAAAAAAAAAAAAAATCGAATAGATAAAACACCCCTAACAATTGAATTATTCTTAAAAGGTAAATATATATGAGGTTTATGGAAGAGATAAATGAACAATAAATATGCAAGAAGATGCTCAACCTTAGGAGTAATTAGGAAAATACGAATTTTAGAGATATAACGTCTTTCATCAGATAGATAAAAAATTAAAAGCATAATGTCAAGCTGATTATAAGGAAGTGAGTACATTGCCAGTAAAAGAGTAATTTGGCAAAATCTCTCAGAACTGAAAAGGTCATTAGCCATGATGCAGCAGTTTCACTTCTCAATACTGACTCGAGAGAGGCTTGCACGAGGGCCCAAGGAAGCATGTGACATCATGAGTGTCGTAGAATTGTTTCTAAGGAAACATTTCTAAGGAAATGTTCATGGGTAACTGGCTAAATAAAATGTGGCCGGCTCAAATGATGGACACCTCAAAACAACATAGAATAAGAACGGTACATTGAAGAATAATACATACAATATGATACAGTTTATGCCACCCAACCATTCCATAGCAGTATATGTTATTTGTTATACATATATAAACACATACAATTATTTTTTAGGTCTGGAAGAATACATTCAAAATGATAAGATTAACTCTGGAGAAGGAAACAAGAAACCTAACATTTGGAGAGGTGATTAATCATGTTTTAAATTTTTAAGGAAATTATTTTTTCTGATATTATTGAAAACTAATTTTTTTTTGAAGGAAGACATAAACTGGGAGCTAGAGATCCTTGATTTAAGTCCTGATTCTGGTACTAACTAGCTGTATTTATCCTGGGTAATTTCTTTTCCTGTCTTCGGGCCTCTTTCCTCAGTATAAACTGAAGGGGTTAAACATGAAGCTCTGTAAATTTCCAAGGCACTGAGGTTCTGTGAATGCCTAATTTTACATCAGCTGCCAAAATAAATATCAAATAAAGTGGAAGAGTCTGTGGCTCTCAAGGTGAGGAAGTCGAGTATAAAAGGAAAAAAAAAAAGATAATCTGATGATATAAGAATGTAGCACAAAACCCCCACCATAACCTGATATTAAAAACAAATACTTTGAAAAGCACTTGTGATGTACTAAGAAAGTGATGTAAGAAAAGATGAATAGCTTATAAAAAATGAACAAGACGTCGAATATGCAATTCACAAAATTCATCATAAACTTATCAACTCCATTCCTTTCTCCTTTCCTTCCTTTCTCAATGTTCAGAGACTGTTCTTAAAGTGATAGTACCTCATGCTAAGAAGACTGTGTGGAAACAGATTTTTCTGTTACACTGCTGGCAAGAGTGCAAATTAGTACAACCCTTCTGGATGTCAAATTTGTGATATTTACTAATCCTTTAACATGTACATTTTGGCCCTGTAATTAGCCTAATAAAATTATCAGAAGTATAAATAGAGCCATTAGGACAAGAGTTTTTATTGTAACATGGTTCACAATAATGAAACACTGAGAACAATCCAACAACGAAGGAATAATAAAATATATTATGGTACAATATTCTTTGGACTATTAAGGCATTAAAAATCATGCCTTCAAAATATTTAAGGATATTTTTTAAATGCTTGGAAACAATTTCAAAGCAATATATATGTTGTCTCTTCCCTTGAGAAACTTACAGGTTCACGAGAGAAAGATTAGTCTCTTTGCCTTGTGGCCATGCCATTTGTTTATTGGCAGATCCAAAGCTACAGTATTGGTCATTTTTCCCAGTTTAATGCCCTTATACCTCACGGCAATTCTAGCCTAAATGACTCCGTCTTAAAGCCACTTCTTTCACTCTTACCTTGGGTAACTGACAATACATTTCACAGTTTTATAAACAAAATGTCTCTATTCCCCCTTTCTAGCTGTTTTACAACATAAGCTCTACTCTGTTTTACTGGAAAAATAGTATGTATATTATAATACTATAGCTTTTTAAAAAAATCCCTTACGAGACCAAAAAACAGCAAGAGAATGTTTTTGTTTGATCCCCGAGGGAATAGCGTGATCGTGAATAGATACTGAAAGTTAGATGCTGGATAGGAGCCCCTCAAAGTCCAAGGGCTCTAAAAATGAGTGAGTATTGTAAAAACATTAAGCCACTAGATATGGATAAAATTTCCTCTTATTGTATTTCTAGAACCATATATGGTAAGACCGTATCATATGAGCTGCCAAATTCCCCCAGGGGGGAGTATCGCTCTGTAATCCTAAGGCGCTATGGACTAATGTTTTTATCCCCTAAAAATTCGTGTGTCGAAGTCCTAACCTAATCAGGTTTAGATGAGGTCATGAGGCTGGGGCCCCATGACAGGATTAGAACCCTTGTAAGGAGAGACACCAGAGAGCTTGCTTCCTGTCTTCTTTCTGCCATCTGAGGACACAATGAGAAGGCAGCCACCTGCAAGTCAGGAAGAGAGCCCTCACCAAGAACTCAATCAGAAACACCTTGATCTTGGACTTCCCAGCTTCCAGAACTAGAAGAAATAAATGTCTCTTATTTAAACCACACAATATATGGCCTTTAGTGATAGCAGCCTGAGCTAAGACATAAATTCACTCTCAGAATTTACATCCACAGCTCCAGGTAACTTGGGAGCCATTTGGTACATAAAGGTAGTGAACTACTAAAGGGCATCCCTGTAGTCTAAAATAGCTTCCATGCATACCTAATTTATACCAGAGGTTACTCTGTTCACTGGGATACTGTAAGTTTTATGAATGATGATGTTGATATTGTGTTCATGGCATGACACCAACTGACGCTTTAGTAAGGCCTTTTTCTGAAATGGAATTGTTATTTACCAAAAGTAAGCAGCAAGTCACAAATCACATCAGTCAGTTCTGTAGTTTAAAAGACTGAAAATGAAACCATCTTGGAGTTGCCTTTTTAGATCATCATCTCAGCTTCTATGCCAGGTCAAAAGTCTACACTGATGGTAGGGAGAAACAAGTGTTGTTATCATCCACAAAATTATAACCGTTTATTGAATATTTGTGTGTTTCAAATACTATGTTAATGCCCGACCCTTGGCATTTCTGGTAGTCCATGTAACAATACCATGAGCTGGCCTACAAGACTCAATGAGGTTAATTAACATGCCCAGGGCACCTCTATCTGTAAGTGACAAAACTGGAACTCAAGTTTCATAAGAAAATCTGATCAACAGAGCACAGGCTGAAGTGGGCGAAGGTGAGGATGATTACTGAGTATTGACTAAGTGTAGAGTCAGAATAACTCAGGTGAAAGAACCCATGGATTGGCCCCAACATCCGGATTATTGATGAAAGTATTCGATTGCTCCCAAGGCAGGTGCTGATAATGCCCTGCCCCATAGCTATGCCGTCCACCTAGGTTCCCTGCAACTGCAGGTGAAGGCAGTTTCCACCACCTGACAGCTCCCATAGCCTGAGAACTTCATGAGCTGGGACGTTGCTTGACCACACCAGAAAGTGTATCTGGAAGTCAGGAGAGTCCTCCACCAATGGGGACTCTCAATGTCCTAGACTCCCTAGCTTCCTGTGGGGTGAGTCTAAGGCATTCATCACACGATTCCTTAGAGGATCCCTGTGATCAGGCCCCTGTTGTCCACAGCAGCAACACAGTCATTCATTCATATCCCATTTCCTGGTGGTTTTTCTTCTGTGTCTTGTATTTCCCCTTTCTCCCCATGTTTTCTGGGATCATCTCCTGAATAAACACTGTATCCACATTCTTATCTCAGGGTCTGCTTTCTGTGGAGGGGGGGTGCAGGGTGGGGGCAGATCTTCAGTTAAGAAAATTTTCTAACAGCTACCATTAAGGTTGAATCTCCTGTCCTCTAGAACACTGAGAACATCCCCTCTTAGTTTTGACCTTAAAGGATTCTGACCCATTCCTGAGGGTCCAGTGTTCAATGTTGCTTATTTCACCACCCTTTCAATATTTCAGCATCCTTACATAACCATCCAGCCCTGACTCACACCCTCCCCAGCAGTCCTATAGCTCTTTATTTTACTGACTTTAGAGCCTTTGCTGTACATCACACTGGGGTTAGATTGGCAGTATACTTATTTGTCTCCCCCGCCAGATTTTTAATTCCTTGTGGGTCAGTGATGAGCTTTCTTGGGCTCATCTGACAGGAGATCTCAGTAAATGTGGAGTTGAACATTATCATGTGATCTGATAGGTTCACCTGTTAGAGGGGATTTAAACTCAGCAGGTATGACAACTTCAGAAGCATTGTAACCCCAAATAATACAAAAATATCTGAATCACAGTAATTCATGTGAAACTATTCAAAGATATAAAAATGGAAAAGTAAATTTTTCACTGGTCATTCTGGGGCATAGGTCCGCTGGGAATTAGGATCTGAAAAGTCAGCTTCTAACTACCTGAGAATTCAGATTGGGCAAATTCTCCAACTCTGGAAAAGGAATATTCCTTTTTCCTATGGAATGAAGGCAACAAAGTGTGCCTAAGGGACCCCAGCCCCTTCAGTAGACTGCCCATGCCCACTTAACAGTATGGTATGCAGAAAAATCCCCTCCAAAGGCATCCACATTCTAATTCTCAGAACCTGTGAATATGTTACCGATGTGAATATGGCAAACGGGACTTTGCAGATGTGATTAAGGTTATCAACCCTGACATGGGGAGATTAGCTTGGATTACCCAGGTGGTCCTACTTGGTCCCAAGGGTCCTTATAAGTGGAAGAGGTAGACAAAAGCATCGGTCAGAGAAAGATTTGAAGATGCTACTGTGCTGGCTTTGGAGGTGGTGAAAGGGCCACTCGCCAAGAGATGTGGACCATCTCCAGAAGCTGGACAGAAGGGATTCTCTTTTTGTATTAGTCAGTTTTCATGCTGCTGATAACGACATACCCAAGACTCAGAGGAAAAAGAGGTTTAATGGACATACAGTTCCACATGGCTGAGCAGGCCTCACAATCATGGTGGAAGGCAAGGAGGAGCAAGTCATGTCTTACCTGGACAACAGCAGGCAAAGAGAGAGCTTTTGCCAGGAAACTCCCATTTTTTAAACCATCACATTTTGTGAGACTTACTCACTTTCATGAGAACAGCACAGGAAAAACCTGCCCCCATAATTCAATCACCTCCTCACTGGGTCCCTCCCATGACATGTGGGAATTGTGGGCATTACAATTCAGGATGAGATTTGGGTGGGGACAGGGGACAGCCCAACCACATTCAAGATGACATTTGGGTGGGGACACAGCCCAACCACATTCAAGATGAGATTTGGCTGGGGACACAGGCCAACCACGTCACTCCCCTAGAGCCTCCAGAAGGACATGGCCTCTCTGACACCTTAATTTTAGCCCAGCAACATTCATGTTGGACTTCTCCCAAACTCCCAAACCGTAAAGTGATAAATCTATGTTGTTAGGAGCCACCAAATTCATGGTGATTTGTTACAGCCGCCATCAGAAGCAGAGACAGAGTAGGTAATTTGAAAATAACGTACCTGAAGGCAAGTCTGGATATCCTTCCTTGGGTTTTTACTTCAGGCATCAAAGAAGCAGCCCATTCCTCATGCAGACTTTGCAAATTCCAGTTGTTCTTGGCTTAGAAAATCTGATGTGGAAGAGAAAACAATATGAAAAATGGCAATCTACCTGATACGAAGCCAGCTTCATTGAGAGTAAGCATCACACTTGGGGACTCAGGAAGCCTCAGAGGGTAAGGCCCAAGTCAGAGACTCCACAGCCAGTTGACTACAGAACCCCTGGGCCCTTTCAGGACTCTGCTTAGAACATTGCCAAGTCCACAGAATCACTGGTGTCTGGATGAGCTCCTGGCCTCAGGATGTCTGTGATGGGGGGGGACTCCGGGAGAGTCTTCTGAGAAGGCCGCACCCCGAATCAGACCCCTGGAAAGTCAAAGGAGCAAAGACCGAGCAAAGGAGGTAGTAGCTGGGGCAGGGATCCTCTGAGCAGCCTTTAGTGCAGGGTTTCTCAGCCTCCACACTACTGATACTGTGGGCCAGGTAATTCTTGTTCCGGGCAGCTGCCCATGCATTGCAGGGTGTTTAGCAGCATCCCTGGCTAGCAGCAATCTCTCGCCCCCACCCCAGTTGTTGCCATCAAAAATGTCTCCAGATACTGCCACACATCCCATGGGGTGTGGATAGGGGCAAACATCTCCCCACATTAACTTTGGCCAAATTCTATACCGTCACTAGTGACAGTTAGGAAATAAAATGGTTATCTCATTAAAATTAGTGCTGTCCAATAGAAATTTAATGCAAGGCAAATATGTAGTTTTTTTGTAAGTGCAATCACAAGTTATGCAACCATCACCACTATTTAACTTCAGAACACTTTCATTATACCCGCAAGAAACCCATACTTATTAACAGTCACTTCCTCTCCCCATCCTCCCCCAGTCAGTGGCAAGTCCTAATATACTTTCTGTCTTGAGTAGATTTGCTGATTCTGGACATGTTGTATAAATGTAATCATACAGTAGGTGGCTTTTGTGTGTCTGGCTTCTCTCACTTAGTGTAATGTTTCCAAGGGTCATCCATGTGGGAGCATCTATCAATACTTCACTCCTTTTTAAGGCTGAATAATATTCCACTGTATGGGTATACCAGGTTTGGTTTTAGCCATGTATCAGTTGATGGACATTGGGTGGTTTTCACTGTGTGGCCATTATGAGTAACGTTGCTACGAACATTCATGTATGAGACTTTTTTGTGGGCACATGTTTTCCATTATCTTGGGTAAATACACAGGAGTGGAATTGCTGGGTAATTCTATCTGTTACCTTTTGAGGACTTGCCATACTGGTTTTCTAAGCAGCCATGCCATTTTACTTTCTCAGCAGCAGTGTATGAGGGTAAGACACTTATGTCTTTTACTTTTTTTGGAACCCAGATTTTAAAAACAGTAAATCATATGGCTGAAGTGAACTTTAATAATATATTTTTCTGACTCAGTGAAACCAAATATCCTTTCAATATGTAAACAATATCAAAATTGTGAGATATTTCACATTTTTTTGGTATTAAGTCTTTAAACTCTGGTGTATATTTTCCACTCAAAGCATGTCTCAATTTGGATGCTAATAATTCTTTGGAAATAATTGCTCTGTATTTAGAGTTCACAACATTAAGTTGGAAGGGTAGATTCACATGTCCAGATTGTTCCAAACCTATTAAAATTTTTTCTTAACATATATGATTTTTTCCTAACATATATGATAATCGCATCTATCAGTTTTAAATTTACATGTACATTAATTAAAATTAAAAATTCAGTTCCTCCTTCAAACTAGGCATATTTTAAGCCTCACTAATCACATGTGGCTCGAGGCTCCCAGGTTGGACAGTCCAGCTCTAAGTGATTTCTGTTGGCATTGTGATTTTTATTTTTTTTAGAAACGAGATATCATTTTGTCACCCAAGCTGCAGTGGTGTGACTGTAGCTCGCTGCAGCCTGGAAGCTTCTGGGCTCAAGGAATCCTCCCACCTCAGCCTCCCCAGTAGCTGGTACTACATGCATCCAACTCTATTGTAATTTTTTAATAAAAACTATTGCCCTGGGCCTCAATGTGGGTTTTCTTTCCTCTTTTACAGATGATCCAATGACAAACTAGAGGTATATACATATATGTATGTACGTGTGTGTATGTATATATACACACATATACATATATATGTAGTATGTACATAGTATGTATACATGTGTATATATAGACACACTACACATAGTTCATATATATGTAATTCTTATATATATAATTCTTATTCTCTTTAACAGATTATTTTTTAGAGCACTTTTAGGTTCACAGAGAAGTTGAGCAAGAAGTACAGAGATTTCCCTTCCATGTCCTGTCCCCACAAATACACAGCCTCCCCCACTATCTACACCGCAACAGAGGGTGCATTTGTTACAATGGATGAACCTACATTGACACATCACCATCACCCAAAGCCCATGATTGACATGAGGATTCCCTCTCGGTGGTGCACATTCTGTGGGTTTGGACAGTGTCTAATGGCATGCCTCCCCCACCATCGTGTGTCATTCCATTCTAGAGGAATGGTGGCTTCCTGTATGGCAGTGTTCTCAGCCACGGTCTGCTGGTTTAGAGCAAGTGGCAAACAGCAGCCCTGGTCACCCATGAACCCCTCCAGCCTCTCGGCCCTCTGGACCTTATTTCCAGTGGCCAGTCCTGCTGGGCAGCCCCCACTGCCAGGGCTTTAGTGTCCCAGTTGGCATCCTGGCAGCCATGCCACTTGTTGGACAGTCTCCACTATGTCTCTTGTATCACTTTAAAAACAACATGCCACCCTGCCTCCAGGCCATCTCTCAGGTTACTGTGGAGCTACAGGACGAAAGAGGACACATTCCATTCATCTGCGAGGTCACAGGTCATTGGGCTTAGGAGACGCTATGTGGAATAGGAAGCCAGGGGATGGGGGCAGGTGGTGTTTGTCATGAGCATTCACCATGCAATGTCTGAGGCCCCATGTCTACAGTGAAAAGACAGCAGCACCATCTCCCCAGGGGCAGGGATGCCACAGCCCAGTCCTCAGGCACTCTAGGTTCATACAGGACAGTGCTGCTCTTCTGGGGAGCTTGTCAAGATTCAGCGAGTGTGGGGAGGGGCCTGAGACCATGCATGTCTAACAAACTCCCAGGGATTTCCACCCTTGGTGTTGTGAGGGCTTAGGGCT